CTCTGTGGAGCAGATTTCATTTACATTAATAAGAACCAGAAAAATCTGCGGGGTGGGGAGAGGGGGTGTGGCTGTTGCTCACGTTTTTTGCATCTGAGTCTGGAGGAGGCCGAGGGGCTCAGGCTGGGGCCTCTGGTCTTAGAGGAGCCGGTGCTGGGGTTTCTAGTCTGAGGGGGGAGGTTGAGCCCATCTAGCCCCAAAAGATCCCTGTCTGACAAAGGAGACAGAGCCCAGCTGGTCAAAGAGACTCCAAGCCTGAGGGGAGGGTGGCAGTGACAGTCAAACTAGTCCCAGGGGCCCTCAGTCCGAGAGGATGGCAGAACCCAGTCTTGGGTGGGATAGGACACCAACACATGGGAATTACCAGGGTCAGCGGTTGGCGCCCTGGGTTTTGATGGTAGAGGGCCACTGAGCTCTATCAGCTAGGGTTTGCCTCTGCCTATCTTGGGGTCTCAGCCTACATCTGGTTGAGAAGGCTTCCACCTCTCTTCCCCACCAGGGTATTAGAAGAGAAAGTACTCAGCCATGACTCAATCCATTTCAGGACAATTATGCCCATTCCTCCGTCTCCCTCTCCCCTCCAGCTCTGGCTTTCAGCCCTTTTGGATCTTATTCCACACCTGAGCTCAGGCTCAGGATCCTGTTCTGGGAGGTGAGATCCCCAAGAGCCACCTACCGGGGAAGGATGCAGTCTCGAACTGACTTGAGTGTGTGCAGCAGGGTGTTCCTGAGCTCAGCAGGCCCAGGCCTAGCTATGTCACAGCCCTGGGGGCTCCCTCCCCTTGCCCAGCTCCCAGACAGCTGCCAGACCTGGCTTCCTTCCTTCAGGGGTAGCAAGAGTATATGGGCAGGAGCTGGGAAGCACGTGTGCAGGGGTGAGCTTGCGTGTACCTGCCTGTTAAGTTGGTGGCCCAAAGATAGGTGTGCATGTAGGGGATTGAGGCCTTCAGGCACACACATATTGCATACACTGAGGGTGTGGAGAAAACATGGAAACATGCATGCTGCTTAAGGCTGAATGACTATGTAGGCCTTGTGTGCACGTGTGCACCTATACACACTGCATGCTTGTGAGTGCAAAGGGGCTGGAGAGGGAATGGAAGAAGCCCCAGCCTCTGTACCTCTTAAGATTTTCATCCAGCCCTATCCTGGGCATCCCCAGGTGCTTGGATGCACTATATCTGAGGTCCTGAGTTGAACCCAACCTTGGGGTTCCCACACCTGCAGCCTCCCTGGGCCCAAGTAAGGGGATGGTTGAGGGAGGCTTAATTGCATCCATGAATCATTCTCAAATAGCTCCTGTCCAGTGGGGGAGGGGAGGGTAGTGGTGCCCGCCTGGAGCTGGAATCCTGGCCTGGGTGTGCCTGATTACTGGGGCCTCCCAGGCCCTCTTCTGTCATTTGCTCCTGTGGCCTCCCCCATCAGCACACGGGATTTCCTTGATGCTCAGGTTGACTGTTTTATCTCAGGGGCTGCTGGTGGAACGGAACTAACTCCTCTAGACGTCAATATCCCCATCTTCGTCAATATCCCCATCTTTGTTATCTTGCCCCCACAGCCTCCCCCCACCTCTTGCAGCCTCTCCTGCTTCTCTTCCCAGCATCCTCTTGGCCTCGCTCTTTGTCTTCCCCTGCCTTGTCTAATCTCCTGAAGGTGTTGAAAGCTGCCCAATGTGAGTGTCCCACAGCCAGCGCTCGCCCCCATCCGTCAGGAGCATGTTGATAGTGTCCTAGCCTAGTCCTTGGCCCACAGTGAGAGGCCCATCTCTTGGGGCCAGGTGGGTGAGAGCACCCGGGTCGGAACCAGCTCAGCCCTCACTCAGCAATCTGGGAACTGCTGAGTGAAAGTTGGCAACTCTTCTCTTTGAACCTTAGTTTCCTGTTAAAACTGGGGATGGAGGCAGTGCTGAGAACTAAGCAGGGTAGAAAGATGTCTTCTGCTGGAATGCTCCTTTTGTCTACATCTGCTCCTTCTCCAATAGGGTTCTGAACTAAACCTCAGTCCACAGGTTCCCCTCCCCCTCCACCCACCCTTTGCTGGCTGGGGTGAGAGCCTGTGGGTATCTCTTGTCTCTATTTGGAGCCCCAGCAAGTTCAGCCTCCAATTCCCTCTGGGCCACAGAGACAGAGGCTTAAGCCTAAGGTGGGCTCTGCCAAGAGTATTTTTGAGAGAGTAAATAATGACAGGGCCTCAAACCGGTTAATTCTGGTTCGGCCCCCCTACCCCCTACTAAAAATGTGCATTTCCACCTGATATACTGCATCAGAATCATTAACAAGCTCCCCAGGTGATTCTTATAGAATCTTATGTAGACATATCACCTGGGGAACTTGTTAAAGATAATTACCCTCACCTAAGCCAGTCAAGCCTGGATAGGCGATGGGGCGCTGCCACCTGGTGGCCACCAGCAGTACAGCACCCTCCCTATTCCCTGGCCTTGTCTCCAGGGCACCCACACACATACACACCCCACCTGTCCCTGAGGGCATTTATCTCCGGAATCAGGGTGGCTGGACTTTGAGCGCCCTTGAGACCTCCAGCCAGACTGCATGCCTGGGGAGCTTAGCTCAGGCCTGGCCACTCATCTGGGCTTTGAAACTCGTTTGATGCGCAGCCATGACAGCTGCTCCCAGATGGCCAGCCAGCCAAGCCCTGCAGCAGCTGTCCCAACCAAGGGCAGTCTGGACTTGGGATCCCTGGAAGCTTCCTCTAGTTCTACAAGAGCCCTTCCAAATTCACTACGTCCCTGATTGGGAAGTTTGCACTGCTCTTGCACCTCATTAGGCATGACCAGGAGTGGCCTTTGTGTGGGCTGGGTACACTTAACCCTGGGTTTCAGGGTAAAGCAATCCAATGGGCTAGTTGGGAGGGATGCCTGGGACCTTGGGGCTTCAGCCACTCAGCACTGGCAGGATTCCCCCAAATACAGCTTTCCAGATTTGTCTAACCTTGAGAATTGGGGCCATTGGTCCAGATATGGGTGAGGACTGCAGTCACTTGGCTATGTATACTGGTAATAGATGTGGTTGTGGAGATCGAAAACAGTTCTCTGAGGGGTTGGCTCAAACCAAGAGCTGATTCAGGAAAGCTCATGGCAGAGCAGACAGCCAACCCTACAGGCCTAGAGTGGTTTGCAGGAGCCCTGAGCAGCTAAAAGGCCCACAGTGGGCACCAAGCAGGGCTGGCCAATTCGAGTGCCCTTCTTAGTCTGGAGAACAGTCACTCCAAGATTCAAGATGGCTGACAGAGGGCTGGCTCCCCTACCAGTACTCAACTGTGGCTTCCCCAGGGAAGAAGGTCCCATCAAGCTTTTGATGAGCTGGGCGAATGTAATTAAGATCTTTCCAGATCCCATTATGTGTGCGTTCACCTGGATTTGCCCTCCGGGCTGGCTGTCAGATGAGTCTAATTAGGCCACTTGTGGCTGCTGCACAGGTGCAAAGAGCCCCCAGCATCTCCCTGATGCTATGAGTGCTCTGGAGAGGGGGCTGCTCCCCACTCCCTAGGGCTACCGACACTGAAAGAGCCAAATCTGTTAGGGAGACATATTCCCCACCCCAGCTTTGGGGAACTTGGGCTGATTTTTCAGGCTCCCAACCAAGCTTAGGGCATCATCTGCATTTGCCTCCAACTCTCCCTGGTAAAGCCTTGGGATGAAGCACTGCCTGAACAGTCCCTCCTGAGAGTACTGCCTACCCCAGTTCTATGAGGGCCAGCCTTGCCTGCAAATAGGGAAATGACACCGTATAGATAATCATAGAGTTCTAGTTTTAAGAACAAGTCCTAGAGACCACCACCACCCTCCCTGATTACATGCCACACTCATGGAGCTCAGGAAAGACAGGAATAACCCATCACCAGCTCAACTGGTCCCCGGAGCAGCCTCTGAGACCCAGGACCCCTTCCTGCCCTTGTCAAGAAGGGTCTTGTGGGCCAAAAATGTTCTCTCCAGTGTCAGAGACAAAGTTCGAATGGCATCATTTACAACAGAAAGCCTTGCAGTGTCCCTGAACACCTCCTCAGCAGATACGACAGAGGTGATAGAGTGCTGCGGGGGAAGAGAGAGCCCTTCTCAGTTCCTCCACCCCAGCAGACGGTGGACCAGATGTCCCCATACAACAGTCATTTCCCCATGCCCTGCATGCCTGGACTATAGTCCACAACTGTTCATGTTCACTTTGGTCCTTGGAAGCTGGAAGAAAAAGGTGCCTCAGTTATGATTGTATGTTTCCAGAAAGTTTAACAAACTCTTTAACCTAACAAAATCTAAACATGGTCTATGTCCATACCACCCTGAATGCACCCAATCCTGTCTGATCTCAGAAGCTAAGCTGGGTCAGGTCTGGTTAGTACTTGGACAAACCATGTGGGAACACCAGGTACTGTTAGCTTTAAAAGAAAAACAAACAAAACAACCCGAACAACTGAACGTGGATGATGATGACAAGGAAAACAACATCAACTACTACTTATAAATAACTTTTAACAAATTAATTTCATCACCTTCATCACCAGGCTTACTGACTCAAAAACTGCTTTGCCCACCTACTCACCCCAGAATAAAGAGACACAGTATCATTTTTTAAGGTATTTCTTCTGTAAAGGAGCCAGATTTGGCAACTAGACTGAAAATCTTCCAAAATTCTGTACAAATGTGTAATATACAAATATACACAAGGCTTCTGCCAAGAAAAGACAGCACAAAGAAAATGACAGAGGCGGCTTTGGTGTTACACACCACCTAGGGCATCTCAACATCTCCCGGGAGCGAGGGCTGATGGACTACAACGTAGGCTGCACATGTAAAACACACTACATTACACTATGTACACTGAGTATAAAAGATCCACTGACCCCCCCCCCCGGCCTGCTCATAAAGCCCTCTGGCGGGAAGGAAGCCCATTCATTAGACAACCTATTTTAGGGAACTCCTTTAAGGTGGGAGTGAGAGCCCCTATTAATAGCACAGGTGTGCCCTGAAAGAGACAGGCAGTAAGAATGAATTCAGGAGACGGACCACTTCTTGTACTTCTTGGAGCTCCGTGTCAAGCTCTCGTTCTCTCCTTCAGTCTCACTCCATCTCAGTGAACCGGGCAAACATGGCTTTCCGGACAGCATCTTTGTAGGAATCAGCACCTGACAAGCCATACGCACTGCCTTTGGCTCCTAGGCCAGCTCCTTTTAGCCGAACTTGAGCCTGAGGGGACACAAAATGACATCAGCAGCTGGCAGGTAGGATGTGGACCGCTCTCACTCCCTCTTCATCAAGCCTTACTTACGAAGCACAACCACCTACCAGAAGGGCTTTTTATATGAGAATAAATTCCAAAAAAACAAACCCACTGCCACTTAGTTGATTCCGACTCACAGTGACCCCTCAAGGACAGAGGAGAACTGCCCCTAGGGTTCCCAAGGCTGTACATCTTTACAGAAGCAGACTGCCTTATCTTTGTCCCAAGAAGAGGCTGGTAGCTTTAACTGCAGATCTTTTGGTTGGCAGCTGAATGCTTTTAATCTCTACACCACCAGAGCTCCTTATATGAAAACAAGGATTTTTAAATTGGAAGACCTGGAGCAAGTTTAAGGACTGAAAGAACAAAATGGGCAAAGGTATGCAGGAAGGCACCACAAATGCGTCCCCCTTAAAATGCCTCGTCAGCAAACATCCTGTTAAAGATGTCCAAAACACCTCATCACAGCTGAGGAAAGTCTGGTAATTGTAGGCACAGATCAAAGCATTTGCCAGGTCAACATGGGAGCTCTTACTAGTGGAGCTCTTTCTGGAAGGCCAGTCAGCAGGGCCTCTGATCTCAGGATTATGACTCAATCTGAGCTCTGACCAACTGAAGGCTTTCTTTCTCTTTTTCAATTGTGCTTCAGGTACAAATTTACAGAGCAGAGTTTGTTTTACATCATTTTGTGTACATTTGGTTTCACTCACCAATTATCATCCCCAACACACTTTCTTCCCCTCCCTTCCCAGTAACACCCCCCCCGGCCCCTCATAGTTATGCACTCCACTGGTGCCCCGTGATTGACTGTTCCAAGGGATGCATCTCCATAGAGTATGTGGGTACATCACCCTGGATTGAGTGGTCTGCGTTTACGTCTTGTTTACTATTGGGCTGAGAGCCAGCCCCTGGGAGTGAGTCTTATTCCAGGCCTGAAGTGTATCTCAGGCCCATAGTATCAGGGGTCCCACGAGACTCCATCTGATCAGTAATTCTGGTCATTATTGTATTTTTGGATTTTGTTCTTCATGTTTCCTCCTACTCTATCCAGAATCTCCAGTTTTGATCCTTTCCCAAGTAGTTGGCATTGGTAGCCAGTCACCCATCTAGTTCTTCGGTCTTGAGTTCGTTCCAACTAAGGGCTCTGACCAACTAAGGTAAATTTTAGTTTGTTCTGTACATAACCAAAATCACTTAGAAGGCGAATCACAGTACTCTTATTTTAAATTAAATCCAACCTAAGCTCTGAGTCTGAATTGCTGTGAGAGAAAGTTAAGTATTCTCAGTGATTGGGGTTTATTTACAACGAAGCAAACAGAAACACATAGTTCTTAGCAGGTTCTATTTAAAAATATAAAAAAATATAACCAGAAAAATCAATTAGGGGTGCCAAGCCCACACTTCCCAAATGACATCATAAAAGAAGGTGGAATGAGGGAGAACAAGAGTCTCACTTGGTGATGATGAGATGATCTGACTGAGGAGGCTACTCCTTGGTGATCCGGTTAAGCTGCCCTGAGTCCCAGGACCTCTGGACCTAACTTCTAGAACAAGCCTACAGGCACAGAACCCAGTGAAGGCCAACTCTACCACTTACCTCAATGGGGGCTGTGATACCTTGACACTTCCTTCCCAGCCCTGAGCCTTCCCGCCAGCCCATGGCCTGCAGCATCTTGTTGCCAATGTTACTGTGATCAATGCCATCTTTGGTAGGTTGTTCATAATTCCTGCCAGTGGCAAACACACAGTTATTTAACTAGTCAGAGCCCCAGCTAACAAACTGGAATATGTGCACAACACATACACAGTGCCAGCATCAAACTGCTTCTTGCGCTTGGGCTCTGGAGGTTCTGGAATGCCATACTTCTCCCGTCTTTCTGCAGCTCGATCTCGGTATTTCATCTATGGAAAAACAAACACTGCTAGAAATACTCACACCTCAATCTTTAATAGTTCAGTAACTCTGTATTTCAAGACTGCGACTGCAAGTATTTTTTAAATCTGAAGTTTAACTTTTCAGACTGGTCTGAGATACCAAATTCCTTTGCTTCCCTTACTGCACTTAATCATACCTAAAATGTCAGGTTGTAGAGGTGAACTGTGCATGGAACCTGGGCCAGAACTATGCCTCTAACAAGTTTTATTTAATTAGCCACCACTTGTCAACCTCTTCACCCAGCCCACTGGGCCATAGGTACACCCTAATGAGATCTTAAAGGGAGAGGAGGGCAGAGATGCCCTTTCCTTCTAGCATTTGGACAGGCCCACCTCCAGGAACAGAGCGTGCTAAGGAGGCTTCCAGAGACCTGTTCAATAAACCCTGGGGAGATGGCATCATAAACAGTGGAAAAAAACAGGATAGTAAAAACCCTAACTACAAGCACCTCAGAATTATTTTAGGATGGGAAATTTTAAGTAATCTGCCCACTGTCAACTGCAGGCCTAGAGCCCACTTAAAGCTAATTTCTAATCCATAGGCCTATACTTTCATTTCACCTGGCCCTCAACCTGCCTTATCAGCCATTAGCCCTGACTGGCATCAGAGTCTTCTCCTGCTTTTGCCTGCAAGCCCTTGGCCCTGTCCAGCCTTCCTTCCACATCACGACTGTGATCACTTCATGTTCTTTTGTTCCCTGAGCCTAATTCAAAGCTTCCCCATCACCTATGAAGGCTTCCTTGACCAGACCAGCCAACAGTTCTTGTTTCTTACTAAAATCCAGTGAGTGTTTGGCATTTGGGACCTGTGGGCAGTCCTGAGAGTATGCTTCTTTCTTGTACACTCTCACAAAAGGACAGGAAGGGACAGTGTGAGGCTCACAAAGCACATACAGCCTGGGGTCCAGTGCACAATGACCCACACTGACAAACACAAGTATGGAATACAATCATTCCACCCTGCCCCTGGGACCTAGAACTAAATGCTGCCAAAAAAGGAAAAAAAAAAAAGCTAAAGGCAGATATCCCATGATACTCTTTCTAGGGCCACAATGTCCCCCATTCACCTCTCTCTCCCTCAGTTCCAAAGCTTCCAGCTCCTGCTCGCTCAGCCTGGATCGTCGGTAGATGTCCATGTTTTGCTACGCAAAAGAGTTTATAGACACAGTAAGAATTCAGGTCATCTTAATTTGAAATGTCATAACTTCAGAAATATCTGATGTATTAAAGAGCCAGAGCCCAATCCAAACTATGGCATGAAAACCAGAGTCTGGTGTGTGTGGAACTGCCATGCTCCTTTCCACTCTAAAAGGCAAGCATTCAACAGCATTCAAATCACTACAGAGAAGCATGAATACCTTGTGCAGGTCTGAGAGCTGTTGATGCCTGACTAGGGCATCTCTGTTTGGGAACTGGCGTCGGCAGAGCAGGCAGGCCATCTTCTTCCAGTCAGCCAGCTTCTCTTCCTCGCTCTCAAGTCTTTCTACCAGCTCCTCCTCATTGTCACTGTCACCACTGTAAGCAGCAACCAAGCCCCTCTGGAGACAAAAGAAGAGTGGATCAGTGGAAATACGTAATAAGAAAATAGCAATGGCTATGTATCCGGATAAAGTAATGCCTTATCCCAAGTGTGAGAACCTAAATTACTCTCACCATATTTTAGTAGTGAATTGCATTTTATCCAACTATACAGAATAGTCAGGCCTCAAGTGCTAGGCCTCACAGCCTCTTGGAGCCCAAGAAATATGATCCTGGGTGACTGTTTCAAACCACCAACCCTAAAGGAAAACCAAATACACCAAAAATAATGGCCCACCCAGACCAGTGTTTACCAAGTAAAATAAGGTTGTTTATGTTAATTCTCTCTATAGAGACCATTAAAACTCTTATTTACAAAAGTGATGAAAGTCAATGAACCGAACTGAAATATTCAGGCTACCTTCATTGCTCCACCTCACCTGCTCTCATACCTGGAAAACAAAGCCCTGAACATGGACTCTATACACAAAAGATGCTCCAAATGCCCACCAATAGTGACTAGACCCAGTTTTGATCAGTAATCACATTAGCCAACAAGCATTTCAGACTCAAAGGGAGAAATCAGTTATGGTCTTTAAAACACTAATGATGGTACTGGCTTACTTTCAGGGGATTCTCCTCATCTCCGTTTCGTACCAATTCTGGGATAAGCTGTTGTCTTTCAGCTAAGGCTCCCTGGAAAACAGAGAACAAGTCATTAAGCCTCAAGTTTTACTTAAGCTCCTACCGTAAAATATGGCTATTCCTGCTAATGTTACCTTCTTTTCAAAGAGAGCAAAGCCAGCATCTGCTGCAGCAGATTCTCTCCTTTCTTCTTCTCTCAAGGAATTGACAGGCTGAAAGCTATTTTTAAAATTTTCTTTCTGCTTGTTTAAACTCTTAGCCCAGCGTTCCATGTCTTTGGCAATCTAATGTCAAACAACAAAACCCACCACCAAAAACATTTAAGTAGGAGAATTAAGAAAACAATCCTTGTGTTATGACAATGAGCGATTAAGGATCTTATCTCAACCATATGCCCTGTAATAAAAATCCCTCTGACTCTTACTTCTATCTACAAATATTTCCATGAGATGGTATATAAGATATTATAAATACTGCTCTAAAGCCTTTGACCAACACACCATATATGGTAATGCTAAAAAACTGCAAGATGCTCTAAGAATTTAATTGTACAAAAAACGTGTGGCTCAGTTTTCAAGAGTCCATGTAAAGCTGACTGTGCCACAACCCAAAAACTAAAAATCAGGCCGAATACTCCAAGGGAGAAGCCTGGGTCCTCTGGCAAATCACACTCTTACCTGTTGGGCCGTTTTACTCTTGGGTTTCTCCTTCTTCTCCTTCCCCTCTTTTGCAGGAGGCAGGCCTGTCTGCTGGTGGGAGCCAGAATCTGCAGCTGGCACATAGGTTTCTTTCTCTCCATCCCAGTAAAGGTATTGCTGGGTTAATGAATTATAGTAGTACTAGAAAAAATACAATTAAAGAGAACTTTGTGCTGTGTTAAACCATTAACAAATATTTTATCAAAATAGTATGTGGTCTTAACATACAAATATATACAATATTGTGGTCTAGTTAATATTTCTGGCTAGAAACAACCCCTTGGACACCTTGGTGTAGGCGAGGATGATGAACCGGCCAGCAAGAGGTATGAAACTTTCGCTGGGAAAAGGACAATAGGGTTTTTTCTCAAGAGTCTATTTCCTAGTGGTAGGGGAGCTGTTGTATTATAAATTTTGGTCAATGACATGAGACAAAGTATATGTGAACTGCTGTATGAAAAGTGAATTTGCTCTGTAAATCTTCACCCAAATCAAAATAAAATTAAAAAAAAAAAAAAAAAAAAAGAGTCTATTTCCTATGAATTTAATCCATGGGCCTAGAGGCACCCAGAGAGCAATGTGTCTCATTCCTTTCCACCACTTACACAAACCAAGTGGTTTGGGAAGGTGGGGAGACCATACATGATAACCAGTTAATGCTTCATTATCAGGCTTGTAGTATAGAACCCTCTGGCCACCTAGGCAACCAAAGGATTGTAAACACTAGCTTGGGAGCCCAGAAGGTGATGGTGAAGAAACCCAATCTGAAGTGTATAGAAGGAACTGTAACAGAGGACAAGCAGCACCCAGTCTTCCTTCTTTATTCCCAGTCACTCATTCTGCCTACTGAATAGGAACCCAGGAGAGAGGGTCTGTTACGCTCCTTCTGGAGAAGATGGAATGGAGTATCAGACATAGGAGTCACAACTTCTATGCCTGACAAGGAGAAATGCCTGGGAAATGGCTCAACTTCATAAATAAGAGAAATGGAAGAATCATATAAAGGCTCGGCCTACTCAGGCAGGTCACACAGAGATCAACACTTCATTCTCTCAGAAACCACAGGTTATCAGCAGAGACCTGGCAGCTATAAATTCCAAGTTCCTGTTAAAAGTGTTTATTTTAGTATTCTATATACACAACTCCTGATCATAAATATTTATTTATGGGGTGTTAAAGTTGTTTTTTTTCCACCAAAAATAAAACAGCACTCCACAAATCTGCTGAATTCTACCCTCAAGAATACACAGGAATGCACAAAGCAAAATCCAGACACAAAAGTGGACATATGTATGATTTTTTTACAAATTAATGTCCAGAACTGGCAAATCATAGAGATAGGAAGTAGATTAGTGGTTGTCTGGGGCTAGGGGGAGGGGAGGAATGAGAAGTGAATGTTTAATGAGTAAGGATTTCTTTCCAAGGTGATAAAAATGTTCTGGAATTCGATAGTGGTGATGGTTGCACAACACTGTGAATATACTAAAAATTATAAAATTGTATACTCTAAAATGATGATTTTACGTATGTGAATCTTAGCTCAATTTAAACAAAATTTATGAAGAGAAAAGCCACAAATTAAAACTTCTATCTAGGTTTTTACATACAAGTTAGCAGCCACCTATACATTTTAACTGGCCAAAACAATCTATGGTAATAGAAGTCAGAATAGTGGCTACTGAAGGTGGAGTACTGACCAGCCAAGGGTATGAGGGAATTTTCAGGCACGGTGAGAATGTTCTCTATATCTGAGTGGTAGTTACATGAATGTGTATACATGGAAACATGCAAAGAAATGCACACTTCATTTTTGTGTACTTTATGTATGTATGTTATACCTCAAAACGTTTTTGTTTTACACCCTAAAATTCATCTTAACCCCTAAAACAAAAATTACATCTTGGTGGTTTTGAGTAAGTTAAACTAACCTGCATCACATAAGGAAGCACAATAAAATGGAAAGCGTTCAGCATCACTTGCTCTGTTGTGGGGAATATTTAATTTTATGCCTTATAAATGGACTAAGTGAAATTAAGGTATTTCTAGGAAAACAGTGCATTTACCTGCGAGTTGGGGTCATAGTAGAGTCCTGTTGTTGGATCATAGTAATATCCTGAAGACTCATCATATTGGTAAGTGGATGTATCAGGTACTGCTGCAAAAATAATTCAGTCTACAGTCATTCTAGGCAAGAAACTAGCTTTATTTTCAATTCTAAGCCACTGAAATGCAGCAGGCATTATTATTCTTTCTCTTGCATCCCCAAGTATCCCTCTGGTACCCACAAAGGGAGAGGAACTCACATTAAATCAAAACAACAACTATGACCTTCTAAGTGTCAACAGTCCCATGAGGTTTGGCTTACCATATTTGTTACCAGGAACTACACCAGTGGGGGAAGCAGCTGGGGCCTGTGTACTTGTGCTAGTGCTAGGCTGTGCTTCCTCATTCTGGAAAGAACAGCAGATTCAAGATAATCTCAACTATAACATCTCTTAAGAGAACTAAATCACTGCAATCATCCAGGAGGACGAGCACCCTTGACATACACATTGCAGCCACAATCTAAAGCAACCCTTGAGCAAAACATGCCGATAAGCTTTCTCCCTAAAGGTCAAGTCAAAGCATGCAGAAAGTGTAAATATATATATTTGGAATCTTATATTTAAAATATAGACACATAAATAAAACTACTGTATTATCTATCTAACAATACCAGACACAAAGAGGAGGAAGGTTGAAATGTGTATATTATTCAATCTTGGCTTATAAGGCAGGAAAGGATAATACTGTAGAGCAAAACAAAGTTTTCCCAACAGTCACTAGTTCTGTACTTAGGATGACAGGATTACCGGAGAGCCGGGTGGATTGGAGGTTTGATTATACAGCTGGGGACTCTGGGATACAACAGCTGCTGAGGTGGTCGTCACTGCTGTGCCTGATGATAAACACAGGGATTAGGGAGAGCCAGGGAACAAACTGTCAAGCCAAACACCTTTATCTGTAATGCTCAATGTAGCCTCTGTCTTTGTATATGTCAGTTTTTATTTTTTAAAGTCTGTTCTTAATAACCTAATCTAATACCCACTAAGTATCCTTGAACCAACAAGTTTTATTCTTATAATCCTATTAGAATGTGACAAAGTTAAAGATTCTGCATGATGGGTAGGAAGAAGGAAAAAAGGGAAAAAATCACCATCTACTTTAGGGTTGAGAAAATATTTAACTATAAAGCTTTATAATTTTGAAACAGAAATTTTAGAAGTAAAGGCTTCTGACAGTCACCCTCCTGACTGATGTCTGGGCACCAGATTCCAGGGCCATACCCTCTGTGTTCACCTAAGCCAGTGGACACCCCATTTCTAATACCACAGAGAAGGGAAATACAAAGTCGAATTCAAGAAGGAAAATTGATTATAACATGATCTCTAAGAGATCTATCTGTACCAGTTCTTGGTGTACAGGAACAATCCCAACCTTCCCCTAAAACTTCAGACACAGTGACAAGTCTGAATGTGCCCCCTACATTCTTGCAAAGGACTCATAGCTTTGAATCCAGTTAAAAACATCCAGTCATATCTCCTCAACCACAGCTGCTTAAACAAAAAATAAGAGAGAGATCAAGTTTATTACCTGATGCAGATGATGGATCAGATTCTAATCCTCCACCAGCCTGTTGCTGATAAAACTGCTGGTAGTCCTGTGAGTACTGAAGAAAAGTCCACCATTAAAGTGCTAGTCTCTATACTCTGGAGACAAGAAGTTGTATGTCAATCAAGTCTACCTACCTGAGCATACTGGGCATAGCCGTCTTGGCCAGGCTGCAGGTAACTGTAGTCAACATTGCCTCCTTCTCCACTTTGAGACTACAGCATGGCAAAAGAAAAGGAAATAAATTTAATAAACATCAAGGAAAAAGGAAGTAGTCCCTAAAAACATCCTTAGACAGCTTTCTAAAACATATACACAACAGGAGAGGTCACTTTATGTGAATCTGGGCCAACACCAGCATATTACCTTGAGCAAGAAGATAATCCATCTTACCTGGGTGGATGACCACTGAGCAGCAGCGATGGCTGTACTAGCCACAGAGAAGGCACTGACTCGGTTACCATCTGGGAGGACCAAGTCTCTGAAACAACAAAGACCCAATTATTTGATTTTACTGAAGTGTACCCCTGATCAGTGCCCCTACACTGCCAAGGAAAAAGTGAATCACTTTGACCTGCTGACAGGTCTCAAATGCCAGCAAGGCCACTTTTCAGAGGGAGAAGGGGTTTCCACAGACAAATCCCTCAGTAAGCAAGTGTTCATGTAGCATTACTGTCCTACTTCATATCCTGCCATCTAATAAAGCATCAGTTAGATGAGTAATACTAAAAAAGGGAAATTACAGTACTAGACTGAAGTACTACATCCATGAAACGATCAGCATGCTGTTCTGGAAAGAAAGAATTATTTCCAGGTGGGTTTGCACTATACTGCAGCAATTTGAATAGCAGATACTCTCAATCCATCTGCCAAGTTTGAGTTTGTCCTGCTCCAGAGTGTTCTGGTAAATGCCATCAGCTAGTTACATAAGACAGGAGAGAATAAGCTCTAAGAAGACAAAATATTTCCCTCCCAGCTTTGGCAATGAGAGAAGACAGTGTCTCAGGGTAGAGAGCACAGGCTTGGGGTAGTTAGCAAAGCATCTCCGGAGAAGTGTGTAGATGTGCCAGTTTGAAATAAGCATAATGAAACTACTCACTTTCTTGCACTTTTTGCAAAATCAACGCCAATAGTTTTGCCATCAATTTTCAGAGGAGGATGGAGACTCTGTAGTATCTGAAGCAGCTGGGAAGCATCCTGAAGGAGAATGTGAAGAAAAACAAGTTTTTTGTGTAATTAAAAATGTCTATCATCTACCCCACTGAAAGAAACAGTTTTCTATTAAAGAAAAAGAGAGAGAGAGACACCAGCGGTTCAGTATTGTGTTTGCAGATATGAAACCTTGAGAAAAGAAATTTCTCTTTCCTCCAGGACAAGAAGGTCTCCACTGTTATTAAAGAACTAAACGTTAGGTCAATCTAAAATAAAGAACAACAAAAAAGGAATAAACTGTGGCTCAAACCTCAGTTCTGCCAGTTCTCTACATTGTACTCATTCTTTTTACTGCTTATTGAAGTAACTGGTCCTGTAATTTAGCACTGAAGTAACTGTTATTATGTAGCTTTAAACCTGGTAGGGGGAAGGAGGGGGTGGTCCAAGAGCCTCATGACCTAGTGGACTTACCACAAATCACATTCATCTCCTAAATGTATGGTTTTTTTTGTTTTGTTTTGGAAAAAAAAAAAAAGATTCAAATAATGCCTCACCATTGCAGAAGACAACTGCACAAACGCGAAGCCTCTGTTCTGCTGGGTCTGTTTATCTTTTATAAGGCGAATATTATTGACAGCTAAGGATGCGTAGGGAGACAGCGCTGTCATGATGGAATCCACCACAGTGTGCGGAGCTATGTTCCGAAGAATGATTGCTGGGGGCGAATGAGACAAATGACATCTATGTGTTCCCACCACCAATGCTCTTCAAGGCAGGTTCAAGTACAAACAAATAAAAAATACATTTTGGGAGGTTTCTAGCATAACTTTCACCCTGACATCAAGAAGATTCTAAAAATGAAACTTTTACAGGACAACCTAGAGCTGCTGCTTATTAAAAAACGTTAACAAAACTTGAAACTGAGATCAGTTTCTAACACAAAGGATAAAACATTACATAGAACTTACTATCACAGTAGTAATCCACAGACTGAACTGACTCTGTGGTTCCAGGGGGTACTTCCTGTTCAGAGTCTATAAGAGGAGAGAGGAAAGCCCAATAATTGAAGATAAGGAAAAAAACGTATTTTTAATGAAAACTAAACATTAAAACTCCAAGGTTTTTAAGCACATCTAGCATTACTTTTTCTTTTTTACGCACTTGTAGCTATAGCAAAACCTCATTCGTTCTTACATAATTTATGTGGAATGCAAAAATTGGGCCAGCACAAGATTGACATTACCCTTACACTAAAGAAAAATGCAGAATGCAAACCAAGTGAGCAGATTTAATTTTGAAAATAAAAAGCAGTATGTGCTTTCACAATCACCATCAACATCTATTTAACCTAAAAGCTTTAAAGGAAAATACATGTTACTTGTTTAAATGTCCTACCAACTACACTTTTCCTCAAGTTCACAGATGCTAGATTTTAATGCATATTCTGAACATCGGAATCCAGGCTTACCAAACTTGTCGGCTCCACATCGGAAGCATTTTAGTCTTTTCCTGAAATTGTTAAGGCAGCACTGAAAAAGAAAGTTTTACTTGTAATTATATCTCACATTGTTGTTGTTGTCATGTGCTGTCGAGTCAGATCTGACTCGTAGCGACCCCTCCTTGGGTTTCCGAGGCAGTACCACTATGGAAGTAGATTGCCCCGTCTTCCTTCTGAGGAGTGGCTGGTGGGTTTGAACCACCAGCCGTCTGGTTAGCAGTCAAGTGCCTTAGGCATTATGCTACCAGAGCTCCTATTTCTCACATTAGGCTAGACTTTCTAGTACTAACATGGGTTTGAACAACAGGGCCACAAGTAAAAATTTCAGCAACCAACATCAAAACAGCAAAAAGTGATACCATGTATTCAAAACAAAGGAGCATAATTAAAAATTCTGAATGTCACATTATGTGAATTCTACCAAGAAAAAAAATCTTGAAGTGTTTTGAAGTAGAATTCCATTTTTATCATGTTAGGAAAAGTTTTTCACCCTACAGCAAGCCACTAGCAAAGTTTTCCCTTACTCAGAAGAATATTTTATGGACCATTCTACATTTATAAGCACAATGTGACCCAAACACAGGCCAGTCCCCCACTGAACACATGGAGAACAAAGAGTGCTCTCTCAAAATGTCAATGGCAACATCCAAGTTCAAAACTCTGTGTTGGTGACCAGACCATCATAGACCTTATAAAACCTGAGTAAGATCACAAGGATTTTTGTCAATGAAACTAAAAGATTATCAAAAGTTGTGAGCTCACAGTAAAATGAAATGAACCTAAAATCCTTTGAACACAAGGCTAAGAACCTAGATCTTAATAACGTTTTGTCTATTTGGGAAAGAAAATATGCTTACCTTGTTACAAAGCCAATCTTCAAACTTCGGTCTGGGATTGCTGTAATGCATTGCAATGTGCTTTCCTTGAATCACCAACTTTTTCTGTAAAAAAAAAAGAAGTAATTAGTTATCCCCATTGTGAAGAATTTGTGTCCATTTTCCCAGGGCAGAGCACACTTCGGAAAAATCAGTGCTCTGGAATTAAATGGACAACATACGGGGAGGACCAACCACCGCCACCTATACTCTGCCCATCCAATCCTTCAGATAGGCAGTAAGAGAATGGGATGCGGAGTAAAGGTAAACGGAGTCAGGGAGTGCTGAGAAAGCTGCCAAACACTGACATGCACCAGGCTGTGTCTCCAGCAGAGACAGAAGTCCTAACATTCAGCATTGACAGGCTGCCTGAGAGTGACAGTCTACTTCAAAAAAAAAAACAGAAGACACAATTCTCCCAGTTCTGATTGTCTCCTACTTTAACTCTTAGCATGGTGTCCTTGGGCTTCACTTCACTTTTCCCCCATTCCCCATCTTTATGCACAGTAATATACCTTTATATTTCCCCTTTCC